TCATAGATAGTTGATGGCCGGCATGTCTCGCCCCCAACATGAGGTATCTTCTGAAGCTGGCGTACCTTCAATTCAAGACGACCACACCGCACATACTACTATCTATCTATGGAGTCGTAAAAAAAGGAGATTATTACAAGAATCTTGAACCATGCTACCTGCACAAGGAGACGGTTCTATAGAGATTCCTTGAAAAGGAGGCTTGCTGGCAGCAGATTTAACTGGCATTCGTCAATTACAGCTAATAGCTGGCAATGAGGCGGGGCAGTGTCAAGAAGCGAAAGCGTTCCACTCTTGGCTTTCCCACCACTGGTCTCTTTCGACCTGAACGCGGTGAAGGGCGGGCGGGGAAGCTTCATCGCACGCATCCTGACCGTTTCGTCGGACTGCAAAGATATCAGCTGTGCATGGGTTTAAAGTTGTAACGACCACAGTTCTGCCACGTCGGGTCACGATAAATCCTCAACAGACGGCACTCTGTTCAACAGTAGCATGTCTTGGGTGAAACTTCTGCAAAATGCGATCCCGCTCGGAAGTTCCCCCTGGACATCCCTTCCCTTCCCCATCCCCTAACCTACCTAGCATCTTCCGTAAATCTCCCAAGTTTCTACCTTCTGCAATTTTTTCCAAGTTTTCCTTTTTTCCCAAAAAGATATCGCCGAGTGAGGGGAGGTATACTGCGCACATTAAACAGGAAAATCGGGAAAAGTTAACAACCGAAGACACAATTCTCAAAGACAAATAAGACTGTCCCACCAGCGACCAAACTCCGGCTGAACCCCTAGGATCCCGACGCACGACCTGCCCTGCACATTGTATCGCTGCTTCCTCTCGCTTTTCCCCCGTTCAGCAGGACAGTTCCGGCAATTTCTCCGGTCGATAGAAGGTTCCCCTTTTCTACATCAGCATCTATGCACGGCGCATTTTATTAATTCCGCTCCCGTTGTTATTCGAGAGAATAACCTTGCTCACCTCAGGAATCGTTAATATCCAAAACACTGGCGAATTCCTTCGACGATAGCCTTCCTGTTCATATGCTGCTCTTTTCTGTTCAACTGTCACTCGTAGGTGAATAAGAGCCCTGTAACAAGCCTACTAGTACTTCAAACCTCACCATACAAGTTAAATAATTTTGTCAACTATATATGCAACCATGATCCCTGCAAACGACAGGGCGTATGATGGGGACCTGTTAGGACGCCTTTTCTACCAACGATGCTATCCTGAAAACGCAACAACTGGCGGAAAAGGTGTCCTGGCTGCGTTCCAGTTCAAGGTCCGTCACATGCCCTATCGTTTGGGAGGGTCACGACTGAAATAACTGCAAAATTATTCCACAAAAAATAGGAAAGCGAGTCCTTACGCGGTAGCTCGACCAGCCGCATCGATGGCGCTGTTTTTGAGATAGGTGATAAGATCATGGCCCCAAGATAGAACGCAATGCCGAATATTTAGCTCTTCATATGTACAACGTTCAAGAACCGCTATCATATCCCTGAAAACAGTGGCTTCAACGCAGGAAAAAAATTATCAGGCCGAATATTCCGCACGCCATCGCGTTGTGAAAATTTCCTGAAAGAAACGACTACCTCTAATCCTATCCTCAAATACGCCCCCTCCCCATGCTACCTACCACTTTCCTAGATTTTCCCAACTTCCTACCACTTTTTCCATTTTTTCCCGAAAAATTTCCAGTTTTTCAGCCAAGAATTTTCCGTCGAGCGGGGGAGGGAGGTCGTCAGGATTT